TTGACCCGACCCGGCATGGTCCATTTGGGTTGCATGGCACCATGCAATTGGATAGACTAAATGAGAGAAATAACACTTGGAGATTATTAATATATTATAAGTTCTAATATATTAATAATATTATTTGATTAGTTTGATCAATAATTAATTTAGAATTAATTAAGTGGTCAAAAGAGAACTAATTAAATATATGGGTTGATTATGTAAATCATCCATATCTTGTATAGTGGGCTAAGAGGCTCCATGGATTATCAAGTTGGGTTCTACCCATAGGATGCTCCATGGATGCTCCATGGGAGTTACAAACCCATGGGTCATGGAAATGAAGAGTCATGACACATTAGGGTTTACATGGTGTAACCCTAGATGTGTCAACACTATATAAGAATCATGTTCACCACCAAAATCGGCTACACTAAGGAAACAAGAGGGCTTGGCCGATTTCAAGAAGTGTGTGTTCTCTCATAAGTTTTTCCAAGAGCATTTGGTGTTGTGTGAAGCATTTGAGGCATCACACTTGGTGTGCTAGGCTCACAAGGTTTCAAGGGACACAAGCAACAACAAGGTAAGTTATTCTATCTATCATTCAAGTTAAAATTGTTCCCCATGTATGTTAGTTAGGAATATAGCCTTGGAATTCAACTTTGCATGATAATTAGACAAACATAGATCCAAGGTTATTAGGGTTGCATGTACACTTAGGAAGTGTTAGAATGCTCATATCCCATCAACTAGGATTAGAAAGCGAGGATAACGGGAATGGGGTAATTGGGTTATTTGAATGTTAAAGAATATATAATTAAAGATTATAATATTATGGGTTGAATACCCTATGTATCTCACCAATGTAACATCCTGAATTCCAGGTATATGATTTATTTTTTGAAAGGCAAAATCCCCATGCAACTCATCGAGTTGATGGCCTCAAATCGACGTGTTGAAATCTTCAGGGTCGCGAACCTTTTTAGACCAACTCAATGATTTGGTAAGGAAAACTCGACGAGTTGGCGGTTGGATGAGAAACCCTAAATTTTAGGGTTTTCACCCTATATAACCTCCTTAAGTCGTTGAGGCTGATCTCTTATCAGCCTCCAAACCCTTATATCAACCTTGTGAGCCCTAATCTTCATTTCCTCTCATATTGTGAGTCAGTGTGTCATTTTGGAGCAAAGAAGGAGAAGATTGTCTGAAGGAAACAAATATCTAGCAAGCAGAGCCTTTAGTCTCTAGTTTGGCACTTTTGTGGACTGTTGTGAGTATTCAAGATCCAGTTTTTATCTATATATGTAGCTAGATCTTAAGTTTTTCCCCTTTTTCCTCCTTAGTCTTGGTTGTTGCTGATGGGTTTTATGTACTCTAACATTCTTATGGTGCATATACAACCCTAATGCTTTGGATCTAAGTTTTCTCTAATTATACATGCAACATTGTTTTCCAAAGCATAAAGCCTGAACTAGCATGCATGGTAACATTTAGATCATAAAAACAGTTAGAAGATTATCTTGTGTAGTATCTTTCTTGTCTTTGACCTTTATGTGTGTGTGTGTGTGTATCTATATATATATATATATATATATATATATATATATATATATATAAAGCAAAACTACGAATTTCTAGGAAGAGCATAATTGATTTACAAAAAAAATGAGATTTGACAATAGAAGTATCTTGGAAATATTAAGCAATTGATATCATATCAAAATAAGGAAGACTTTTTATTATGTTAAAGATCAAATCTAACGATTTTCGAGTCTTGAATGTAGAGTAGCCGATATACAATTTATATATTAGCAGTTATAAATTTTTAAACCTAACCTACTTAACTAACTAATTGCACTTAGGCAGTGTACCTAGTCAAATTATATGATAATTTAGGTAAGTCGGGTGTCGATCACAAGGAACAGAATTTTAATTTAGAAATAGCTACTGATTATTAAACTAAGAAACAACTTTAAATATGGGGTTTTTATTGATTTTACAAGTTCAATGACTTAATTCAATCAACTAACAATTAAACAACTATTAAAACTAAGTAAGAAAAGAAAACAACTTTAAATATGGGGTTTTTACTGATTTTGAGTCCCTTCTCCTATGGTTGATTTCTAGTAGATAAAGTATATTGATTACCAATTCAATAAATTACTAGTTTTCATGATTCAAAACCTAGTTTTTCCAATTCATGAATTACTATGCAATGATCAAGCAAAAGTAAGATACAAAATTGAGATAAGCACAATTGGACTATGAATGATAAATCTATGAGTTATCTATCCTAGATCAAGACAAGAAATTTGTCCTAAAGTTTGATATATATATATATATATATATAGTTTCCAAAAGTTGGCTGCCACATCGTAGTAGTTAGGATCCACATCATGGCCATCACCTAAAACATGTATGCCCCAACTCTTAGGAAGCTTCTGTGTCAGGAAAGGTTATCACACCCCTGGCCGGCGGCGGAAATGATAGGTTGTGCGACGTTAAGATGTTGGAATTCACTTCAAGATATGTGTTGGATAATACACATGATGTACTAAACAACATAGCTATTTATTCATTGAATAAAATATATTGTATAATTGTTTGAGATACAAGTAGTTTACAAAAGCACAGTACAAAAGCAAATCACATAAGTTTTGGGCTGCATCACCAGGGTTATCTCCTCCTTTAGATGAGTTCATTCTCCTGAGAATACATGTGGTTTGAGAGGTCAACATAACTTTGTTGAGTCCATAGAATTTATTGTTATAAAACGTGTGCACATATTTTGGCTGTTTTGTTTATCCTACACTTACTTACTTTAGTTTGTGAGTACTATCACTACTTCCATAGGTAGGTTCCTAGTGGTAGTCTAAGATACTTAGATGTTCGTTGATCTAAACTCGCTTCCTCGAATTTATGTATACATCACTACTTAATTGGATTAGTTCCGAGTAGTAGTTTATGATGGCTAGTTTCAGTTCGATAAAGTTATGATGAGTTGTTGTAATCAAGTTATGACTGTTTATCCCGAAAATCCATGATGCTTCATCGGGCGTCGTTGTATTAAGAAAGGCATGCTTTCTTTGACTTTCATCGGGTTTTAGCTAGCAACCACAGGTGAGAGTGTCAATACTGTATAGAATTATACATATCTCTATCGCTCACTTAAGAATTAACGAATATAGGTCGGGCGCTAGCTGAAAATCTATCAACGTGTTGATGTATTGTGTCTCATCTAACTCTTGTCATGGGGCCCTCCCCTATTCGGTCGTGTTGTTATTTGCGTTGTATTTATAGTGTGTGTGGGTGTGTGTTTTGCATTGCCGAGAATTTGGGCAGAGTAACACTAGGTACTAAGCTTATTCAAAGAGTATCTATAATAACGAGTTTCAGCGTTTTCTGGTAACCGGACAACATGACAACTAGGTATAATCTTATTTGTCATAGTATTTAGCATAACAACTAGGCATAATATTAGCTAAAAAGTGTGGGCATAGTAACTACTGGGAATAATATTATACTAATTCTATGGGCATAATTATCTAACTTTAATTAGTGATAACTATGTAAAGTTGCATTTTAGACATGTATTCCCCCTGAAAGATTTGTAAAATGGGGCCGTGAAACTCACATTTGAGTATGAAAACGTTGGTGTAGGTTAGACACCACAAGTTAGCACTTCGAGAGTCGATCGGGGCGACGGCATGGTAAATGGTATATATATATATATATATATATATATATATATATATATATATATATATATATATATATATATATATATTAGGGGTGTTGAGCGGGTAATTTTTTCGGGTTTCGGGTAATTCGGGTCGGGTAATTCGGGTTTTTCATGTTAGAAAAATTACCCCTACCCAAACTAAATTCGGGTAATTCGGGTTTGGGTAATTCGGGTATCGGGTCGGGTTTGCACTACTAGAAAACAGCCCTTTAATGACACGCAAACAATGATACGCATTGATTTACGATACGCATTTCATGCGTATCGTAAAAAAAATGTCAGTCTTCCTAAATTTGAAGGATAGAGGACACGCATTTTTGCGCGTCCTAAACTTTGTGTCCAATACAAAAAATATTAGAAACATGGAGGGCACTTATTAAAAAATAGCGTCGTGTAGAAAGAAATGTCACTTTTTAATTGGGTAATTCGGGTATTACCCGAAATATATGATTTTTTTTTTAATTTCACCTAAAAATAAATTTAATGAAATAAATACGTCGTGCTTTATTAATCTTGTTTATATAAACAAACGAGACATAAACGAAGTTACTCAAGCTTTGAACATTGAGATTTTCTACTCAATAATACATGAGATGACTTAATCTAATCTAATAAGATGTTAAAAAAACAAATACCTAAAGATCTTAATTTAAAAGTTTAAAATGTTTAAGATAAATGTAGTCATAAGTTTTGACATGTTCTAAAGTTTCGTCAAGATAATAAGTTTGTTAGTTGTAATAAAAACTATAATATAGAAAACAGTTAAGTTTTAAAGAACGTGATGATATATAAAAATTACTTTTAATATTGTTAGTGTCGTATTATCATAATAAATATATTTATGTTTTATAATAATGATATTAGTTTAAGCGTGATCAAATACCTACTATATAGAACAAGCTCTACAAAAAAAATGAATTTTTAAATAATTTGGGTAATTCAGGTAATTCGGGTATACCCGAAACCCAAAAAATGTACCATTTACCCGACCCGAAAAAAAATCGGGTAACCCGATTACCCGGAAAAATTTACCCGACCCGATTTACCCGATACCCGAAAAAATCGGGCGGGTAATTCGGGTATCGGGTATTTTCGATAGGGCTAATATATATATATATATATATATATATATATATATATATATATATATATATATAGAGAGAGAGAGAGAGAGAGAGAGAGAGAGATCGAAGAGTGGGGTGAGGAAAATGAAAAGTCGAAACCTGCTATATTATATCAAATCTGGAGCGTGCGTCGTGCATTGCACGCCCAACAAATGTGTGTGAATCGTAAGTATCCTCATCTCAGTGTGCCACATCATCCTGTATCTCGATGTAAGAGGGTGTCAGTATGCATGATGGTAAAAATTCAATTTTGAATTTTCGTAACTCTCGCATACAAACTCCGTATGACTCTGATATATCCGTGTAGGTCTCTTGATTCTCTATAACTTTCCTTTTTATCGTTTTGTCTGGTTTTGACTTTCATTTTTTGACATGTTTTTATTACCATTATAATCTTATAAAAATAATAACTCTCACATATGACGTTCGTTTTAGGTGTTTCTTGCCTCTTAATTCCTACTATAAGTATTACTATGATTGTCTAGTTGGTGACTTTTTCCAAAAGTCAACCAATCTTCTTGTAGCTTTCGTCGTTGTAAGTTTTTCAATCATGGTAGATATTCATTTACAATAAATATCATATCGCACTCATACTGTGTCGGATTCTTACGAAATTTATATTTTTGAAATCGCGATAGTTTAAGGAGTCTAAACATGCTAACATCTTCTCAAAGTGATGTAACTTTTTGAGCACTTATTTTTTTAGCCTAAAGGTTGACGTAATGAATGATGAAAAATCCGAATATCTTAAAATATATCGGGTGGTTATAAGGTTGTCCTTATCACACTTTCACGTCCTATCTTTAAATGTTAACGGCTATTGGTGACATATTCTCTGGGTTGTCACATCCCCCCCCCCCCTCGGTTAAAAGAAATTTTCTCCCGAAATTTAGCGTTTAGTTGGCCGTTTTTAAATAAATTGGGATACTTGTTCCTCATTTGGTCTGCATGTTCCCATGTGTAGTATGATTCTCACTTAGAGTTTCATCGTACCCTGACTATGGGAATGCGAATTTGCTTAAGCATGTTAACTTCGCGATCTATGATCTCGACTGGTTCCTCGACAAAGTTGAGTTTTGTGTCGATATGGATTTCGTCGAGAGGTAACATGTCTTCGGAGAGACATTTCTTAAGGTTTGAAACATGGAAGACATTATGTATGCTATTGAGCTCGTGGGGTAGATCGAATCGGTAGGCTACTGGGCCTATTAAGAGTATTAATTTTGTTAAATATTGCTGAAACACAGTATTTGTTGATGTATCTTGCTAAAAAAATCAAAATGTTGATGTTTATGTGCTATTTTTTGCTAAAATAATGTTGTTTAAGTGTTGTTTTGTGCTGAAACTGTCAAATAATAATGCTTATATTCTGTTTTTTTTTTTTTTTTTTTTTGCTGAAATTATGAAACAATGATGTTAATATGATTTTTTTGCTGAAGTTGTGAAATAATGTTGTTTATTTGTGGTTTTGTTTGCTGAAAATGTGAAATCATGATGTATATATGTTGTTTTTTTGGCGAAAGTGTCTTTTTTATGTTTATAACATGAAATCAAGTTCTTTATTTGTCTTACCTAAAGCTTTTATGATATAATGGTTATTAGAAATGAGAGAGAAACAACAATGTACCCATGAGCATTTAAAATGTTTATTGGAAACTTGTGTTGAAGAAGTTGAGAATGTAGAAAGAAAAGGTTTAAGTTTATATAAAGATTTATAGATAAGGCTTCGAAGAATTCTTATGGAAAAATATGGATTTGATTCAAAAACAAATGAAAAACGCATATTATAATCTGAAAGCCAAATATATAATTTGAAAAATAAAACTGGCATTATATACAATTCTCAAACAAACACATTTAACTTAACAGCGGAGGAGTGGGGTGATTTTAAGAAGGTACATATATATTTTAAACATTTATGTTTGAAGTTGCCAAATAGCATTATACTAGTTTTTGTTACATTTGGGTTTAAGGGGATCCAAAGGCGGCTTCATTGAAAATAATTTCATTGTCTTTTCCAGATCTTTGTGCACGTCTTTTTTATGGAAATAGTGTCACTTGTAATTTCAAGTGTTACTCAACCCAAACATCATCAGGAGCTGGATCATCTTCGTGTCATGTTCCACTACTTGAGATTACGGGCACCTTTTTTGTTGAAATAAATGATGATGATGACATTTCTCATCATGCTAGTGAGCCTTTTTGTGAGCCGCCACCTTCTGCTACTTCACCCTCTGGTAACCCCAACAAAATGGCTAAGCTCTCGACTTCTAGAGCTCCTAGTGACTCACCTGATGAAACTTCTATTACTACTAGTGACGATTTAGCATTTGAAATGAAAAAAGCTCTACAACATTTGACTAAAGGGTATACAATTCCTCAATGTTTAGAGAAGTTAAAGTTCTTTAGTTAGGCCCTACAGATCCTCTACGCTTTACTACATATCATATTTTTCGAGGAACCATGAATATGAGAGAGATTTGGATGAATTTGTCTGATGTTCCCGATATATTACAAGGATGGATCGAGATGACGGGTACAAGTTTAGGAGTTTTAAAGGACGAAAAGATTGTCCGATGATTTTTCTTGTGTTGAAGGTTTTTTTATTATGTTGGAACTATTTGTTAGGTTTTTTTTGCTTTTGTTGGAACTATTTGCTACTTAAATTTTGAAACCATTGTTTGATGTTTTTTACTACTTGGAATATGGTTAAGGTGCTATTTTTTTGCTACTTTAAATTTGAAATATGGTTAACATAAATTTTTTTTTTTTTTTTTGCTATTTGAAATATGGTAAAGTGTTGTTTTTTGCTACGTGAATTTAGTTAATATTTATGTTTTAAAGTTCTACTGTTGTTGATTAATAGTTGCATAACAGACCACGATTAAAAGATACTTCTCGTAATTCTAATGTACTTGTACGTCGGTTATTTTTGGAAGAGGGGTGTGAAACAAGTGCATGACAATGATTCGGAAATGACGGGACATGAATACACATTAGAGCAATTGCAACGTAATCCTTTACAATGTGTTATAGTACTACACATGTCTCATGAATCTTTTGTCCAATTATGTGTGCATTTTAGAGTAAATAACTCGTTAAAAGATAGCAAACATGTATCAATTGAGGAAAAGATGATTATGTTTTTTATGATGATCGGTCATAATCAGCGTTACATGATTATGTACATGATTATCAAGCGGGTATTTCAACACTCAAAGCAAACAGTTCATAAATTTTTTTTTTGAAGTGTTGGAAAAAATAATGTTTTTCGCAAAAAACATTATAGTTTCAACTTCTTTTAATCCAAATCCAAACATTTCAGGACATAATAGGAGGTTACGACGGGTTTTCAAATGAACGGTTGGTGCTCTTAATGGTACTTTGATACATATTATTCCTGCTAAGAAACAAGATTTATATAAAAGTATGGAAAATGACGACTATTACCAAAATGTATTGGCAATTTGTGACTTCAACATGCTTTTTATGTTTGTTGTGGCCGGTTGGGGAGGGGTAGCACATGACTATAGAATATTATCAGAAGCATTAGCCGATTCACATGCATCATTTCCGTTTCCACCACCAGGCAAGTTTTTGGTTTTTTAAATATTTTTATCTTAGTTTGAAATTTTATTAGTGTTTTGCATTTTTACAGAGAAATATTATTATTGTGATGTTGAATATGCGCATTCGAAGATTTATGACTTCGTATCGTAATGTGAGGTATTAGATTGGTGCTTTTCATCAAAAACGTATATTAACCAATAAAGAAAATTTTAACCATGGACATGCAAAACTTCAAAAAGTCATTGAGCATGTTTTTGGTGTTTTGAAAGCACAATTCCCTATATTGAAGATGATAGCACCATTCTCGTTTGGTACACAAAGAAACATTGTCGTAACATGCTTCACGCTTCATAATTTTATAAGGAAATAACTGAGTGATGAGTATTCGCACAATATGAGGAACCCATTGTCGGGATGAAATTGTTGAGCAATTGATGCAAAATATAGGTTGAATTATTTTAAATGAAATTGTTATTGTAAAATATTAATTTTATTCAATGTTGTACGACTATTATTATTAGTATTTTGGTGTTTGAGAACCATTTCAAGTTTGTAAAATTAATTTATTTGAAATTCAGTTTATTTAAGCAGGCTACAGACGTCGTTAAAAAACAAATTTTTTATTGCAGACTGCAAACGTTTGGTTTACCTCTTTTACTATAAAAGCTTGCAGATTTGATACATTTTGGTTTCAAAAAAAACACCAACTAAAACTAAAAGCAACTCTGATATATTCACTAAAGCACTATTTTCAAAGAGTTAAATTTCTTAAATCTGTAACAAATTGAAGACGATCAATATCTATGCTCCAGATCGGGGAGTTTTAGAATCAATCACGTCCATTTAAGCTTTGTATATATCTAACATAGGGTTTTCCTTGGTGCCGGTTGTACTTATGTATCTAGTTTCTCATTTAGGTAATGTTTTTAACATAAAACAAGGCTTTAACCTTTCGCTCTTTGCAAGATATATATTCAATAAATCTGATTCTCTCATACGATGAAATAGGCAATAACTAGGGGTGTGTATGGGGCGGTTTGATTCGGTTATTGGTCAAAATCGAACCATAACCATTATGATTGGTTAATGCATTTTGATAACCATTGTGTATGGTTAATGATTTTTGTCGGTTAATGATTTTGGTTAATGGTTAATATTGGTTAACCATAACGTTCAAAATAATATAAATGCGAAAGTATAGTGGCACAAAAAAAATGAAAAGAGAATACAAAAAATCATCGACGCCAATGTTTGTAACTTAGCTTATAGTAATAGAATAAAATGTGTACCTTTGATACTCAAAGTGAGATAACACATAGTCACATTCAAAATCAAAAACATTCAATAAAAAGTATAAAACATTAAAAAATTAACATTAATAACTTCATATATTGATAATTGATATTAACATTAAAATAAAGTCAAATATTCATACACGTTCAATGCGATTAAATCAAAAACTATAAAATAAAATAGCTAAACATTTATATTTCGTGTTATCTGGATAAAAAAAAATAAAGCAATCACTTATATACATTCAACGTGATCAAGTCAAACAATAAATAAAAAAAGACAATTTTTTTTAAAAAAAAATACATTCTTAAAATATCACGAAGTGGAGAAGAACCAAAACTTAACTTACCTAGAAGTTTTGATTATAAATTAAAAAAATCCTTCGAATAGAACTATAAAGTCAAAACAATCTTTGATTAGGATTAACGGTGTAAGAAACCTCCGATTAGGATTATGAGTGTGAAGATTAAACTAATTGTAAATAATGTTTACAAATTATAGAATTAGCCAATTAGGAATTACATCATTAAGGTTGGACGGAATGGAAGCGGCAAAGGGGTGAGGGAAGCTTCCCTCACTCTAGAACACCATCCTTTGGGTGAGGGAAGTAACCCACGGGAAAGAGGTGGGGGGAGGGGGTGCCGTACTCTCTCTCTTCATGCTATTGGACAGTTTTTTTTTAATTTTTTTAATATTTATAAAATTATATACCTACTAAAAAATATATATCAAAATTCATGGTTTTTAATTCCCTACAAAATGAGTATAATATATGTATGAAATATATTTAAAAAAATTAAAAAAAAAATAATGAGGGAAGTTTCTCACCCATTCCTTGGGTTTTAGGTGAAGGAAATGTGGCCCACAAAAAGTAAAGGAAACATCCATCCCATACCCTCGAGTCTAATCAATAAACTCACTCATGCATGATTGGAAAATTGATCAATAAACTCACTCATGCATGATTGTAAAATTGTGTTTGTCAGCACAATCTGCGTGATCATCATTTGATAGTTTGATTGCACGTTCATCTCCTGATAAGTGAGAATTAATAAATTATATTTTGAAATTTTAATGGGTCTTAAATAAGTCTGACTATATTATTTTATATATAATCCATAATTTTTATGTATTAAAATATAAAGTTAGCAGTTCGGTTAACCTATAAAACCATAACCGGACCATTTGTTATCGGTTAACAAAAATTAGAAACCGAACCAACGGTTTTTAAAACGGTTCGGTTATTATGGTTCGGTTATATTGGTTAATTTGGTTATGGTTCGGTTATTATGCTCACCCCTAGCAATAACAATAGGCACAATAAAATCATCTCTACTCTACCAAAATCCAGTTCGAAATTCCAAGTTCCAAGGAAGAAAAATAAAAAGAAAGAATACAAATAAAATAGCTGGGACAACTATACTACACAACATAAATAATGACCAAAAACCCGACCCAACCCACGCTTTTTCTATCGTAGACAAAAATTTCCCAACTAATTAAATCAATCAAGTCTTGTTTGTTTTTTTTTTATCCCCCTCTCCCCTACCAATCTCGAACAAAACCATCATATGATGCCTCACTCACTAATTCACTCACAGGTTCAAGCAGTAGCAGGAACCCGTGGTGCCATGTTCTTAGCTGTTCCGTTAACAGCCATCCCGTTCCCCCGGTTCATACGCTCTCTCTGATATCCATCTCCACCACCACCACGGTTTGCCGGTGCTCCTCCACGCCCGCCGCCTCTGTTGCCATAATCATTCCTCCCACCACCAAAATCACCGCTCCGATTGTAGCCTCTTCCGCCACCAACACCACCACCAGCGTTAAAGTTTCCACGACCCCCTCTCATCCCATCGTTCCTGAATCCTCCTGCTCCAGCCCCCCTTCCAATCGGAAACCTTCCCCGTGCTCCTCCTGTTGTTATAATTTATAAATAATAAATAAATCAATCTTATAAGATGGTGAGAAACACAGATTTTGAATTTTAATTGATATCTTGCCTTTGGAGTTTGTGGAACGTTTTTCCTCAACAACAGCATTGCGTCCACCAATAGCAACAGGTGAACCCTAAAACATGTCATAAGTAGATAACTTCTGTTACATTACCATCATCCTCCCATTTCCATCCAAAGTGATACATGAAGTTTACATACCTCAATGGCCTTTTGAACAGCTTCAGGCGTCTCGAATTCAACAAAACCAAAACAGAATCCCTGTTGCTGTCATATGAGTTTCGTGAAATTTAAATTAAAAAAAAAAAGGGGTGTGTTATATTAATTAGAGGAAGTGGACACGAACCCTGTTGCTTCGAACTTGAATGCCATTGGTCTTAATAGGACCAAACTTCTTGAACTCCTCATCCAACATAGCAGGTGTGGCACTCATAGGCAGACCCTTGATGTAGATCGAATACCCATCAGCTGTGCCCAAAACAACACAAATTTTACATTTTACACCAAAGTCTATGTTTTTCTATTCATTGCACTAAATTTTCTTCTTTACAATTTTTGCCCTTCAACTTAGAATGTTATGTGTTTTTACTTTATT